GGATGCCTGCTCTCCCAGGCTGCCCTTGGACCAAGTGCCTTCCATGGCTGCTACTGTTCTCACAATAGATTTCCTACCTCATCTTTACACATTTACAGCCAGAGCTGTCACTCACCCAAAGCCACAGGCCCATTGCAGAAACTGCAGAAAAGGCGAACACTGCCCTCCTGCCTCCCCACCTTGTATCCTCAAGCTTGTTCCACCAACCTCCACTGCCCAATGAGAGCATGTCAGACTTACAGTTTTACCTTTCATCAGCCTCCTCAAACTTTCATGCCCTGGCCTCTCCGGCCCTCACCAGGACATGTGGATGGACACACAGATATACACACGGTACTGTAGAAAAAAATGCTGAATTTAACCTGAGAGGCCTTGGGTTAAAATCTCAACTGTTGCTTATGTACCTACTTAGGTTACCTATGTAACCTTGGACGAATCATTTTAACCCCTGAGGCCTCAGTTTCCTCAGTTATATAAAAGGGGAGGCTGGTCTAGGTCACTTCTAAATGTGATTCCTATGAAACCTTGGTTTCCTAATATAATGCCTCATTCTGCCAGTTACAGGTGAAAGAATGGCTTGAGTTTTAAGCTCCCCCCTACTCTCTCTATCTTGGCAAACAGGAGGGTCACCAGACCAGTGTTTGGTCTCAGATGGCACCAGACATTCTCTCCTCGTGGCATAAACAGCAAGCTTTTTGAGGTCCAGTTTTTCTGCCACCACCAATTCTTTACAAAACGTTTTACAGCCTTACAAAGTCTCTGCAGAGACATATAAAAAGCACAGACCTATCTAGTACAGGCTCAACAAATAAGGTTCCCTAAAATCTATCATGGGAAACAGCCAGTGCAAAGGCAGGGTGGTGGGAGATGTCTGAGGATCAACAAGACAGTCTGGCAGACTCACCAGTGAAGGGAGGGGAAAAATATGCAATAAGGCTGGAAAGACAGATTGGGGCCAGGCTGTGAAGGGCACGAAGAGTCAAAATGAAAAGTTTATGTTTGATTTAAAAGGCAATAAAGGAGCCACTGGAATTTATAAGCAGAGGAGTGACGTACTTAGAAGCTTTAGTGGTAAGTGAACTAATTTTTCATCTTTGCTGTAGAATACTGAAAATATTGAAGAGCACCTTGCTTGGTTGAAAACCCCAATGAAGACTCTTCCATTCTTCCCAGTTCTTAGACCAGAAGTAGCAATATGTAAGAAATGGTACTTAAAAACCTCCCGCCAACAAAAATATGGAAAACCTTCCTTCTTCCAATCTCCCCCCCCCCCCCCCCCCCCCCCCCCCCAAACTGCGATTAACACCTCTCTTTATCAAGCATCAAGGAGAATGGAATGAGCACAAACCCAAGCGCCAAGACCCAATCTAGTATTATTCATCAGCTGTGTGATTACGAGCAAGTTACGGAGAGCAGAACAGAGCCCAGGATCGTGAAGAGAGTTTTTAACTACAGGATTTCAAAGGTGCTAACACACTTAAGGGGTCTCTATGTTGTCTTAGCACCAGATTATAAAGTATCAGGAGGCTAAGAGCAAACAAAATCATTTGGAATTTGCTTTTGTATATTTCCTTTCCCCCAGCTATAAACATGAAGAGCCAAGTGAAACTGTAGCTGACTGACCATAATGCTGGCACAGGGTCTGGGATTAATACCATGTTAGAAACCAAATATGTGCCATAATGCTATTTAGTGTGGGTAGTTGGGAGTGTTTCTGAGGCCTGGATTTGATTCCTGGCATTTTAAGGAACAAGTGGAGTAGAAGAACCACTGGACTAGAAATCAAGAGAAGGGAATTCTACTCCCAGCTCAGGCCCTAACCGTGTAACCTTGGGCAAGTCACGATCCTTCCCAAGGTCTCTCTTTCTTCATCTATAAATGAGGTCAGAGGAGATCCCTAAATCCTCTTCTACTAAAGGGGTGTCCATTCTATGGGGGAAGATCTAAACTGCAGTACGTGAATGTAGTGAAATAGTATTGTGAGAAATGAGGAGGGGCAGCTAGGTGGCGCAGGGGATAGAGCACCGGCCCTGGAGTCGGGAGGACTCGAGTTCAAATCTAGCCTCAGACACGTAACACTAGCTGTGTGATGCTGGGCAAGTCACTTAACCCCACTGCCCAGCCCCAAAAAAAAAAAAAAAGAAAAAGAGAGAGAGAGAAATGAGGAAAGAAATGACTTCAGACAATTGTGGAAAGCAGGAACTGTTGCAGAGGAAAAGGAACAAATTCCAGAGAATAATTTACACAATGAAAACACGGTAAGGAAAAACCACTTTGAAAGACTTAGGACCAATGCAAAGACGAACCACATCCCGGAAGGGCTGTGAACAAGCACATTACCCTCTGGAGACACACTGTTGGGCATGCTTACTCTGTGGGTGTTTTACTTGACTGTGCTTATTTGTTCCCAAGGTGTTTTCTTTCTATTTTTAGTTGGGGGAAGAAGGATGGCAATGGTGATGCTTAAAAAAAAAGAAAGAAAGAAAGAAAAGAAAGAAAAGAAATACAGGAGGAGAGTCACTGAAATATTTTTAGAGGCAAATCAGAAGGAAGTAGAGACTAGTAGGGGAAGTTTTAAAAGTCACGGGTGCAATCGGGTGTGTTCTTTCACAGAAATGATCCTCATGCAATCCTCTTTTTGGCTTCTACTTTATATGTGGAATTGATCATTTTGGGGAGTGTTTGTTAAATTAAGAATAAGGAATTCCCCCCACCAAGTCTCTCCTAGCTCCACAAGGCTATGAATAAATGAGCCACATTAAAAACAAGATTGTACTGGCTTCCCTGCTTTCCTTTAGGTCCCAGCTAAAATTCCAACTTCTGTAAGAAGCCTTTTCCAATCCCCCAATTTACCCCGTCTACAGCTTCTTTATGGAGCTGTTTGAACTCTGTCTCCCCCTTTGGACTGTGAGCCCCCTGAGAGCAGGGCCCATCTTTATATCCCCAGCACTTAATCAAGGCTTCCTTACTTGACTATCTGCATTTGGAAAATGGCAACAAGATCATCTTCCCTGCTGTGCCAAAAGACTGTTTACTGCTGCAGTCTGCTAAGTGTTTATAACTTGGAATGGCCCCTGTCACTTCAGCTGCTCAGCTTTACAGCCTCCCAGTTCCTAAAGCAATCGGCACTCCAAATGTGTGCTTTAGCAAGTAGCCTCTAAGCTAACAGGCATGGCTGTACTGATCACATCAGGAGTCAGAAAACTTTTCAAAAAGACAAGTTAAAATCCAGGCACTGTTCAGTGACAGCGCAGAGTTTCTACTTAAGAAGCCTGAATGGGAAATACACTTAGAGAAACGTTTTATAAGCTCAAGAATCAAGGATACCAAATACATCTTTACATAATTAAGGAAGCAGAGCCATGCTCAGAAGATCAGATGTGGATTTAATACTAAAAGGGACCTCAAAGGTCAATGGGTCTAACATCCCAGAAAACTGAGGGAAACCCAGAGAGGCTAGAGAAGTTGTGCTCACCAGAAATGTTTATCACTTTCATGTCTGTTTCACAATACTAGCTAGTAGCAAGGATTCATATTTACTTAAAATTTTACTTGGATGCCCCCCAAAATTATATCCTAGATATGAACACTGTAGGTTAAAAGAGAAGTGAAACCATCTTTGGGTTATGAGATGCCAATTTACTGAAAACTGGGAAAGGGAAGAGACTATAACAGAAACTCCTCTTCTCAGCTACTTTCCCACAAATCCTTCTCTCAGCACTTAAGGAGAAGGGGATGGGTTTCAACCTTTTATTTTTTATTAGCACTTCACAACCACAGAGTAAATATAGGTAACCCGGAATTCATTCGTCAAAGCAATGGTTTTGAAACTGGGACCCTGAGAAATTTTCTAATGGTCCTTGCGTCAATACCAGAACAGTTTTTGAGTAGGACAGAACTAGCATGCTATGGTCCAAAGAGTCTCAAAGAATCAGACATGACTGAACAACTGCCCACTCTACTCTACAAGCAAAAAGCACATCCCCTCTTCCCTCAAGCATTTATAGTATAAGGACTTTTAACCAAATTCTAGTATAGGGAAAAAAATAAGCAAAAAGTAATCAGCAGCAACGGCCAAAATACGAAGGCCCACGAAAAAAGCATACAAAAGTTATCAGTGGACCTCGTGATCTTGGTGGGCTGAGCAAGCTAGCCCTCTTTGGGCGTTTCCCAACCGAAAACAGAAATGGCTTCCAATCCCGACCAGGCCATTGTTCAGCTGAGTGACCGTGGACGAGTCTGCACTCCGCTCATCTGACAACTCACTTCTTTCATGAGGGGCCATACAAGACGCTCTCCCGAGTCCCTTTCAATGCGGGAGGCAATCCTGCCTGTGTGCTGTGTGTCCATGGCTGTCTGCACCGCGTCTGCCCCCATGAGACCTGAGCTTCCCGAGTCCAGGGACCTGTCTCAGACCCCTAATTCTATTAATGAACCATGTTAAAAATGCGATTCCAGGCTCCTTTCACGAGAAGCCTTCCCCAACCCCACCCCCATCCGAGCTTGTCTGCAGGTCGTTGTTCGCCTGTTGCTTCCCCGAAGGCCGGGGATGGTTTCTGCTTTCTTTGTACCCGTGGCTCGGGGTGTGTGTGTGCGTACGTATAGTCACACGTATACGGTCTGTACATATACACGCGTGCATGCACACATGTATCTAGAAACATACACACGCACATCTACACACACGTGGATGTATACATGCCTCTCTCCACACACACACACACACACACACACAGAGCCCATGACGGACCAGGGCTCACAGAGGGGCTGGTGCCCACACACGCACACGCGTGTACACACACGTACACACACCCACGTGCAGCAGGCGATGACGTGCTCCCCCGCCCTCCCCGCGTTCCCAAGGCCGGCGGGGGGGGCGGGGCCGGCAGTCATGGAGGGGGAGGGGAGGTCACCGGAGAAGGGGGCCGGGGGCCGGAGGGGCCTCGGGACAAAGAGGCCGGAGCGGCGCGGGCGGGGCGGGGGCGGCGGCTGCTACTCACAACAAGAAGCTCATGTCGGACGCGGCGGGGGCGCGGCGGCACCGGCGGCGGGGGCGGGGGCGGCGGCAGCGGCCGGGGCTCGGCTCGGCTCGGCTCGTTCCCGGGGCGGGCAGCGGGGACAGCGCGGCCCGGGTCCCTCAGGGGAGGGGGCGGAGGCGGAGGCGGAGGAGGAGGAGGAGGGGCCGTTGGCTCCAATCGCCGCCGCCGCCGCCGCCGCCTCCTTCTGTCCTTCCCGGCTTCCTTCCCGGCTGCCGCTGGCCGGTCCCGCCTCCTCCGAAGCTCTCGCGAGATCCGCGCGAGGCCGCGCGCCCCCGTCGCCCCGCCCCCTCTCCCCTGACCTCGCGAGGCTCCGCCCCCCTTCCCGGAGGGCGGGGTGACAAGAGGGTTTGGAGTTGAGGTCAGCTGGGTGCGCAGGCTCGGAGCCAGGTGGGAGGGAGGGAGGGGGCGTGCTTAGAGAAGAAGGAAGGCCCCGCCCCGTGATCCCATTGGCCTAGGAAACGCTCTAGGGGAAGAAGGTGAGAAGTGCTCGCACATCCCATGCAAAGGTATGCAAGTGGGGGGTGGTGTGCGGAGCTAGCCCACGGAGAGCCTCTCGTAAAATATTCAAAGTGAGTATTTACATGTCGGAAATCCTGCAGATGCCTTCCCGTGCTTTGAATTCTTTGAACGTTTTTGACCACACCCAACACCACTGCCTCGGACTTACCATCAGTAGGTAGGAGACAGCCAGGAGCCCTGAAGATAGCAGAGCCCCTAGACCAGCACGGCTTCCCCTCTGCCCCTCCAGTCCTCACCTAGGGGCGAAGCCCCTGTGGAGAATGGACCGGCCTACCCAACAACTGCGTCCTTTGGGACGGGCAAGCCAGCCTAGCTAAAGCAGCAAGGTACCCCGAGGGAAGGACAGGTACAGGCCGGGCACCACTCCTGCCTTCTCCCCTCGGATGGCGGTGGAGCCCCCGGAATAGCAGCCCTGGCCCCGCTCCAGCCTAGCCACCATCGAGGGAGTCAGCCCCCGTGAAGGTGCAGCCTCCCCAGAATATTGGAATACTTATATATATATATATATACATACACCCCTGTGGAAACGTGACTGCCTCTCTAGGTACTGAGACAGTACCTTCTTAGCAGCCACGGCTTTTAAAGACCCAGATAAGTGCGAACCCACCACCAAAGCCCTCGGCGTTGAGTTTTCTACTTCTAAAGTTAGGTTTCCAGACGTGCGACGAGTACCTTCTTATCTGCCTGTGCTCCATCCCTGGTAATTGGCTGGCATCCCTGGATAATTATGGTCCCAAAATCTAAATTCCATTCTTAGCCAGCTGGTTATTTCCCAAATCAGTCTTTTCTCTTTTGAATCCTCTGCCTCAAGTTGGCATCAGTGAGGAAAACAACCTATACCCCTATGGTCTTCACTTTCTTGCCCAAGATTTTGTCATTTGGGGCTCTTTCTAACAGTATCATTCATGCCCGTCTAAGGGATCTGTTTTGATGAGTGTGGGGAGGACCTCTGTTATGTCTTCCATACTTGCCCTGAGAAGAGAGTAGACCTCTCAGCTGTTATTAGAGGGGCCAATAGCAGTCTTGCCTGCTTTACTTCTTTATCTGAACCTTCCCGGATAGCCTCCGCACTTTCTGGGCTGCTATCATTTCATGCCTTGGAAGACAAGTAGCTGCTTCTTCCTCTGAAGATGCAGCTCCTTCCTCTTCAGGAAGATCCTCAGATTGGTTTTTTAGCCCTTGAGTCTGCACATGGCCTCTTCCTTCTCCTCCTCCTTTGAATGGCATTCTCCCCCCGCCCCTTTCCTAACCTCCCGCACCTGGAGCATAGCAATCACTTGGTTTTGACAAATACAAACCTCTTCAAAATCTGTCCTCTGCTGATTGAGTGTCTTGTATTTTTTTAACTAGATGCAGGTGTTTATAATTCACTTCTAAGTAGGTCATTCAGAACTTGACAGACTCTGATCACCTCTTAGTCAGTTGACCACCTCCCCTAATTTCATTTACTTAATCTTTTTTTTTTTCTTTTTTTGGTCAAGCAATCGGGGTTAAGTACCTTGCTCAGGGTCACACAGCTAGTGTTAAGTGTTTGAGGCTGGATTTGAACTTAGGTCCTCCTGACTGCAAGGCCAGAGTCCTATCCGCTGCGCCACCTAGCTGCCCCCATTTACTTAATCTTAAAGACTCCATAGTGCCCACCACACCTTCACTCTTGCATCCCACCTGTTTCACCAGTTTGCCGGCTCACCCACAACCCTCTACCAATTCACTGTACCTCCTACCAATTTATTCCGTTTGCCTCTTGTCAGCTGTCTTGTCGGTGAGTCCTCCGAAGGGACATACTTAATCTTGCTCCTTTTCCTTTAATTTTAATCTCACAGAAACTGTAGGAGCATCTGGACCTAGAGATTGTCATCTTTCAAATTTCCCCCAGTTTGTCCTCCATTTCTCCTCCCCAAATTCAGCTCTTTTCAAATCCCTCGAAATCACCTATACAATTTCCTTCATCCTTTAAAGCACAAGACCTTCTCTCTTCTCTATTCCTCATTCCATAGCCTTTTCCTACAGAGAGCAAAGTGGAAGTGAAACAAAAAATTTTTTTCTTGAAAAATGTTCCCCGTCTGACTTCTAAACAGTATATTCTTGTAAAGACCTGTAGTTCTCATTTCTCCAGCTCATTGCTCTCCTCTTAGCACAGGACTCCAGGGAATCCTCTAAAATAAAGTTTAGGTCTGGCACCTTGCTAAAGTTTCCTGAACATGGGTAAACAGAATCCTCTGCTACACATGCAACTCGGTGTACAATATGGGTATTGGGCATTTATTTCCTCCACAGTAGAATATGTATAAAACACAAAGAACTCACTAGAACGCATGAACAAATTCAGCAACATAAATCCAAATAATAATAACACATTAAATTCTTTAGGCTCTCCACTTCCATGGAAGGGAAAGAGAATTTACGGAACTGCTGGGCAAAAAGACCCCTCTTTTCCCCAAACCTTGCACCCTCTCAGCAATTCACAGCAAAATCACAGAGGGTTGGCAGGGCCCAGATCTCCTCATGGCATGGCTTTAGGTCTTTAGCTATAGCTCAGTGTTCTGAGAAGCCGATTGTTAAGGAAATCTCCCTGTGAGAGGCCAGTGCCCTACTCTTAAACTCAGGGAGTCTTGATCTCTTGGGAAATCTAGAACTCTGGAACCCTTAAACTCACAATTGTCCATGAGATAACCTCTAAGGCCAGAAACATTCATTTTCATAGTTTCTGTCTCTGTCCTATGCTCAGAAAAGGAAATAAGGGTAGAAGGTGTTTAGGATCTAGAGGTCCAGAAACTCCCCTCTTAGTCTCACCTGAATCAGGAGAGGACATTTGCTATTGTGCATTCTAGCAGGTCTCTATTTTCTGCTCCTTTATTCCCGCCCCCACCCTCCCAGGCAGTATTCCAGTCTAGAAGCCCAAGGGAGAGAAAACATAGGAAAAGTATGAAGAAAGGGGACAGTTACTCCATTACAAGTCCATCCTTCTGATCCTCAGGCTGCAAATCAAGAGCTCAGCACAGTTATTAGGAACCAATAAGATAAGTCCTCTCAGTAAGGGGCTAAGACACATGTCTACCTCTATGAAGGGTGCCCGACTCACAAAGGTACACACCTTGTAATCTCATCAAGTTCACTGGGGGACTCATTAATGAGGGACTCCCCTGCTTATCCCCGGATCACTCCGGTAACAGGGATTTCCTAAGTTGCAACAATATAGTGCCCAATCCCCTATGCTGTGTGTTTGGGAATAAAGTCAGGCATGGGAAAAGCCTCGGGCAATGGCATGAGAAAAGGCATGGTGACAGAAAATGAAGATGAAAAGGTTGTCAGGTCATCTAGTTTGGCTAAAGTCTGTAGGGAGTGGTTATGAGATAATGTTAGAAGGAAGATGGTCCCAAGTTATATAGCTTCAGCCCGCACCTTTGCACGGGTGCTCCCTCATGCCAGGGGTGCTTTTTCTACTCACCTTTGCCCATTAGTTTCCTGGCTTCCTTCAAGACTCAGCTCATAGCTCACTTTCTGGAGGAGTTTCCCCCACCCTTTAAGCTTCCCATGCATGCATTCTTAACCTATTTGGTGTCCTATGCTGCTTTGGCAGTTGGTGAAGCCTATGGACTGTCTCTCAGAATAATGGTTCTAAATGCATAAAATAAAATACCATTATCCAAAGAAATCAATTATATTGAAATACAATTATCACAATATTTTAAAAACAAGGTGACAGACCCTAGTCTAAGAACCTCTGTTCTTAGATCCTGAGATGACCTTCTTGTATGTGCCCAGTTATTTATAGACACGTTGTCTCCCCTGTTACAGCATGAGCCCCTTGAGAATGAGAACTGTGGTTTTGCCTCTTTTTTTTTTTTTTAATCTCTAGTGCTTAACACTGTACCTGGCACATGGTAAGCATTTGAGGAAGGGTTTGTTTGATTGTTTGTTTTTTACTGGCTTACTGTCATATTAGTCAACACACCTTACCGACCAAGATTGCCATCTTGACAAAGGTGGAGGCAAAGGGAGCTGTGGCCAAGTGTACCAACCGTGTCCTTTTGCCGAGTATCTTTTCCAAGGTATGGTTTAGCCAACTTCCTTTTGTTGAAGGTTTAATGATCTACCCGTGTCTCATTTCATACCAATGCTGACCTGGTTGGATTGAGTCAGGCCTGATCTTTCACCACCAGGGAACTTGGGAGGTTGAAGAACCAGTTTAAATAACAACCACATGAGTCACTAGAACAAAGCCTTGGAGATCTGACAGAAGGCTCACTTTTGCCAAGCTAGTTAAATCAGTTAGAAGACCCAGAAGGGGACCATCTTTTGTTCCTTTTTAGGTGTCTAAGATAGGGAGTTGTTCATACCTGGCCCAATTATGATGAGTTCTCTTTTCAGCCAATTTCCTGTTGGGGATCTCTAAGGGAGGGAGTAAAATTCTTGAAAGAGATGGGTTTGCTGGACTGACTTTACTCCTAGCTTTTCAGACGTTATGACCAGCAGGAGCAGTTAG